AAGAGAGGGAGGAAACGGAGATAAAGCACGGGGACGATGACAGGAAGTGAGAGGCAGAGCAGAAATGGAGACCAAGAGGAGAAGGGATGATTTGATTGAGACTATGTGCCAGGGACAAATGTTTTTTATTAGAGGTAATTGCCTCACTCAGTCAACCCCCCTCTCGTTTGATTTTCATTTCATCCGGATTTGTCGGTTCATTTCCCGTGTGAGCGAGTTCACACACAATCTTCTCTCAACCACACAGGGTAAAGAACAGTTGAGTATTGGGGGGGACACAGGTGGCCAAACCGAGCACCCCATGACATGTAAACTCAACAATGAATATTCAGGATTGATACATATTTATGATCATCTCGTCTCTGTTTGAGGATAAACTTGACGGCAGAATTGCACACAGCTCAAGTCAAGTTATGAGCTTTTCTGTAAGTCAAGACTACGTCCATTAATTATATTAGTAATGTCAGGCAACAGGGCAACAACAGCAGTGGAGCAGCCCAACAACTTCCTCTGGATCCTTCGTGGGTCTCTGGCAAGCTGCAGATTGATTAACAATTTAGTTGTGGAGCAGCCTCACAACTCTGAGGTCCCTCCAGCCGATAGAACATCTGTAAGAATATTCAGTTGGACAGCTTTCACTGTTGGAGTCTTGAGTGCTTTTATCATGTTGTTTGTAAAATGTCTTTTAAGATGGATGCCTTTTCTACTGCAGACCAAATCTACCTAAGGGTACAAACTCAATCAGGGTATGGCCAATTATTTGTCAATTTGAAGCAGCTGGGTTTTTAAATAACTATTCTGTCATAAAAGACGAGCACTTGGATGGATCTAAATGGTCATTCAATTATGTTCTTTTCCTTCTCCAATTACAGTCCCTTGATTTTGATGAAAAAAAATAAAATAAAAGATGTGAAGGAGAAATCCCCAGAAGTAAATACCACAGTGGAAACTTTTCAACACCAAATTCCTACATTTGAACGTTGCTGGAGCGAAGATTGCCAGGACTGCAGAATGTCAATTTCTTTACGAAGCATCTTAAATTTTTAGAGACTTTTTTTTTTTTTTTTAATCATGGCCGACACTAAATAATAATAATACACTTAAATGTAAGAGCATTTATTAATAAATTATGCTTTATGGCATAAAAGCAAAAAGCCACCAACACCATTGGTCCAACCTGCTGTTCATTTTAGAACCCCTCTAAAAATATCTAAATATCTTTTCACATACTTACTCATCCTGCCTCCAGTGTTGCTCTCAGCAAAGTGTCACATTATGTTGCTCATCCAGTTTCCCCCCCACAGGCAGCATGGACAGGTCAAAACTATACAGTCTATGAGTAAAAAATAGACCATACTCTGAGGAAAGCTCTGCTTGCTACACAAACATTACAACAGAGTAAATGGTAGCTAACATCCTAAAATACACTTTCAGGTTTGAGTTACACCGACCTAATACTTTGCTGTATTAGTATTCCTCTTATGGACGAGTATCTCCAGGTAGTTTCCCCCTCCAGCCTCCACCGGAGACCCATCCATCCATTTTCCACCGCTTATCCGGGGTCGGGTCGCGGTGGCAACAGGCCAAGCAGGCCGACCCAGACCTCCCTCTCACCGGCAACATGTTCCAGCTCATTTTGGGGGATCCAGAGGCGTTCCCAGGCCAGCTGGGAGATGTAATCCCTCCAGCGTGTTCTGGGTCTTCCCCGGGTTCTCTTCCCAGTTGGACGTGCCTGGAAAACCTCCAGTGGGAGGCGTCCAGGAGGCATCCTAATTAGATGCCCGAACCACCTCAGCTGACTCCTTTCGACGCGAAGGAGTAGCGGCTCGACTCCAAGCTCCCTCCTGATGACCGAGCTCCTTACCCTATCTCTGAGGCTGAGCCCGGCCACCCTACGGAGGAAGCTCATTTCGGCCGCTTGTAACCGTGACCTTGTCCTTTCGGTCATGACCCAGAGTTCGTGACCATAGGTGAGGGTAGGAACGTAGACCGAGTGGTAAATTGAGAGCTTTGCCTTCCGGCTCAGCTCCCTCTTCACCAAGACGGTCCGGTGCAGCGCCTGCTTTACTGCTGCAGCCGCACCGATCCGCCTGTCGATCTCCCGGTCCATCTTACCCTCACTCGTGAACAAGACCCCGAGATACTTGAACTCCTTCGCTTGAGGTAGGCACTCCGTCCCCACCTGGAGGGAGCAATCCACCGGTTTCCGGCAGAGAACCATGGCCTCAGATTTGGAGGTGCTAACTCTCATCCCCGCCGCTTCACACTCGGCTGCAAACCGCCCCAGTGAATGCTGGAGGTCACGATCCGAGGAGGCTAACAGGACCACATCATCTGCAAACAGCAGAGAGGCGATCCCGAGACCCCCGAACCTGACGTTCTCCACCCCCAGGCTGCGCCTAGATATCCTGTCCATGAAAGTCACGAACAGGACCGGAGACAAAGGGCAGCCCTGGCGGAGGCCAACACCCACCGGGAACGTGTCTGACTTATTGCCGAGAATGCGGACACAGCTCCTACTGCAGTCGTACAGAGACCGGATCGCCCGTTGTAACGGGTCCGGCACCCCATACTCCCGCAGCACCCCCCACAAGACCCCCCCCGAGGGACCCGGTCGAAAGCCTTCTCCAAGTCCACAAAGCACATGTAGACTGGTTGGGCAAACTCCCAGAACCCCTCCAGTAGTCTTGCGAGGGTAAAGAGCTGGTCCACTGTTCCACGGCCGGGACGGAATCCGCACTGCTCCTCTTGAATCTGAGGTTCGACAAACGGTCGGAGCCTCCTTTCCAGCACCCTGGCATAAGCCTTCCCCGGGAGGCTTATGCCGGAGACCGATTACCGTCAACTTTAAACTGCATCAGACAACAATCCTTTGACATCTTTATTCCACACATGGTTCAATGCAATCAAAGTCCCACTTTTTGTATCAAATATATCTGGCGGGGAAATAGTACAAACTGTCAACATTTGTTTTACTATACATGGTACAGTAGAATAAAGACTTGAGGAAATCGCATTAGGTTTGTGAATTGAATTCACGACAGCAGTCGACATGAAAAAGCCCCGTTTAAGGCTCAGCACTAACTTATACACCCTTATCTCTCCTGTCCTATTAAAATGGTGTCGTTTTTTCAAATGTGAAATGACCAAGACCTAGAGTGGGTTTCCAATAATGGAAGGCACATGTCAGTGTGACACTTTCAGCACACAATGTCTTTTGGACTGGCAACATCCAGTGAAAATACTCCATGGCTTCAGATAGTTGGTAAAAGCTATTATGACAAACTAGTTCAGGCGGGGGAAATAAAAAAAAATATAAAAAACGTTGCATCTTTTTTTTTTTTTTTTTTTACGATTGTCAGAATTGTTACAATCAACAATAAATAACAGAAAACGACTCGATCGATTGGAATGCAAGATTAAAATTTGAGCTCTATAAAGTATACAGCCGTTTGCATAACACATACATATAAAGGCCTGAACATGAATAACGTCATTTATCTTTGCTTTCTTTACACATACTCAAAGACAGCACATGGTAGAAATACATTCTCTGCCTGTCTGCTCTGAAAAACAGAAGCAGGCAATCAGGCAGACAGAAAAGCAATTGAATAAAAAGAAAATATACAGTACGCATCCGCTTTCCGTCCCGACATATTCTGTCCATTTCCACAGTGAGAGACGCTCAGTTCCATCCCCACAGAGTTCGCAATGGCATCTTATCTTCCAGGCATAATATCCCAATTTTCCTAATTGGGATTGTGAACGGATAGCTGGTTTTATTCCTTTGGGGAAACAAGGGAAAGAAAGACCCGACAGGCTCTAAGGGCAGCCGAAAAGGCACTGCGACTCGTCTGCTTCCGTCTTACATCTCTGCCCTCCGATTGGTTCCCTTATCTAGACCAGCCGTGTCCACCTCCACGTCCTCATCTTCCTCTTCGTAATGCTCTTCCTCGTTATTCTCGCCCTCTTTTCTGTAATCCCCGTCCTTTCCCCCCTCGTGTCTTGGTCCCTCATTGGTTTTTACGTCATCCTGGAGCAAAACACAAGCACACAACAAGAGGATGATGATTGTATCAGACATCTACAGGTATTCACGACACAATATAACTTCTGTGGAAATTACAAGATTTGAATTCCTGTTAACGTCTTAGTCTCGTACTGTTTTTACGCGGCCAGTGGCATTCCAAACTCATTTCAGATATCATGTCATTTCACAGTTTAGGAGTAGAGACAACCAAGTAGACATCACAAAGTTCATTTTTCTATACCATTGACAAAAAATATGCAAAAACGTCCCGATAGAATCTATGCTTTGGGAGTCCGTGACGGGGGGGGGGGGGAATGTTTCTCCTGATAATCCGTCCGTAAGATTGGAACTCACAGGATTTTTATTCTTTTGTAAATAAATGGAAGCAGTGGCTCTCGTGCAAAGGTTCAAGAGATGCACCAGTGGATGAATGACGCTGAATGAAGTGAAAGCTCGACTGAGCTCAAATTACAGAGAAACAGAAGTACGTTCACTCTCGAGTATGAAACACCAGTCGGTTAAAGAGGCGAGTGGACCGAGGACCTAAACACTAGGGATTATAAATAAATGAATGTCAGGTGGTCAGTTACAGAAGGGAGGAAGGAGTCAAATGTCTTGTGCAAGGACACATCAGCAAGGTGGGCTGCTGATTATCATTTATTTTGTATATTACTCAAAATGATACGACTTCTTCAAGTTATTTCTTAGAAATATTAAGACCAACCCAGCGTTTGTCATGTAAACAAGTAAATATGTGACATGAATGTATTGTTTCAGAGTTATGAAATGCGTGTGAGCTCCATTTAAACAGATTTCCTCTTAGGAAAAATTAAACCAAACCCGGGTGGTGACTCGACACCCCGACAGACTCGACACCCGATCTCCCACATTTACCAGGACGCGCACAGGCAAAGGGTCAAGTTACAGGGACTTCACACATGCACACGCAGCTTCATCCCCGTGTAGCCACTACAGGTAATACGTCACCGTAGTAAATATTACTCTCCAGATGTGGTGCCAAAAGCATCTTACCGCGTACGACAGGTGCTTTCTAAGCTTTGAACCACAACCAGTTTGGGTTTAAGGGAACAAAACGCACAGATAGCTAGAAATCCTCTGACTCTGGTTCCCTGAAGAATAACCCACCTGGTCCATGTTCTCCTCGTTATATGGATTCTCTCCTTCCTCCTCCACCTCCTCCTCTCTCCTCTGTCCACCAGCTATGTCCTCCTGGACCTTCAGGACACCAACAACGAGAAGACAGAATTACACAAAAAACAAATGGCGTGTCATTAGGGCAAGTCTGTTCCTACTTATCTCTTGCATTACTTTACTCAATATGCACAGAGTGTTACATACATCGTCCTCTACTCCCTCCTGGTACTGGTCGTCCAGCGCGTCTTCCTGTTGATCCGGGTTTCCAGCCAGCTGAACACACACAAATCACACGCACACAAGTTTAAACACCACTTAAAGATCATTTATTTTCCTAGATGCTGTGGTTTCTTCCCTTCTCCCCCCCCCCCCTCCCCTTATCTGCCTCCAGATCTCAAACTCTCTCCGTCAGTTTCGTCATGCCACCATCATGCCTCGCATCTCCTCTGGCCCCTCCTTACTCACCACCAGTTCCTCCTCCAGGGCAGGTTGTTTGGGGCCTGAGCGCGTGTCTTTGTGCTTGGCTGCCGCTGCTGCTGCTGCTGCTGCCGGCTCCTCTTCCTCCTCCACCACCCCGTCCTCCTCCTCATCCTCCTCTCGTACAACCCTGTGCTCCGGCCGGTCGTCCTCAGCCTCCTCAAACTCGTCCTCTCCCTGGTTGTTGGGGTCGTCCTCGGGGTCCAGATCACCTGCACCACCCTACAGAAAAAGAGAGAGTAAAAACACAGGATTTAAGTAAAGAAGAGGTACATTGGTATTAGTGCGTTAATATTTGCATTGAATGCATGCAATGAAACAGTAGTGTGGAGGATTTATAACTGAATATGTTGGCAGATAAAAACTGATTATGGCAGTTAGTGCACTCTAACGATGCATTAATGGCCTTGTTGGTATTCAGAAGCTTTAACAGATCACTGGGTTGACTGACAAGTGGAAGATGGATAGAGGGGAGAGGGGGGGGGGAAGACAGTGGGCAGGGCGGACGAAAGCATCGATTTGCGGATGGATGGACGTGTGACACATGATACACTGGTGTGAACGTGAAGTGACTGAATGAGCTGAAAGGAGAGTCAGACGATGAGGACACACGCGTCAACAGATGGCAGTGAGCGGGATGGATGGGGAGACCGTCACCTGCTTATGTGGTGGTACTCTGTGATCCGCCTCTTGATTCTCCTCCTCCTCCTCGTGTATCATGTGAGTGTCTGTTAACGAACACAAACACGTTCACCGTGAACTCTTCTAACAGCATCAGACAGTGAGAAACGTTCGTTCAGAATACATTTGATATGTTGTACTGCTGACGTGATGTACCTTCTTCATCGTCAGTGTGACGGTCCTCTTCTCCTTCAACAATATCGTTCCCCATATTCTCATAATTGGTTCTTTTCCTAATGACAGCAATGACAGTACAGGGCAGAAAAGAAGAGCACATCAAAACATAGCAATGAACGTTGAGAAATATACATCTACTGATACATATTTAGCTGTAGAATATATATCATTTGTGTGGTAGATGATCATGTATATTGAGACCCGCGGCATAGAGCTTTCCCTAAAATGTAATCAGAGCATCAAATGTTTCCTCTTTTAGTGTGTGTGTGTGTTACTGACAGGATCAGAGAACGATTAGTTTGGTGAGTGGCAAACATTGAATTACAACTTCCAGTTCACCAGAGGGAGATTTTGCTATTGCTCAGGTTAATCAACGCAACGCTAGTCTCATTAATTCATCTTTTTTTGTTTTTTAGAAAAAGTTAATTACAAAAATGTCCGAGAGCCATGGTTGACTGAGCTGCTGATGCTCTATCTCCAATGCGGCCTTTGAGCTGATGTAGCGACAAGACTGAAGATAAAACACACCCCGTTTGGTTCATTCCACTTTGTTCTTTTCAAATGAACACTTGTAAAGCAAAAAAATTTAACAACATTTTAAAAATGATTTGAAGAGGACAAATGAAATTGCATTTAGCTCCTTGGTACTGGCTTAGCAAAAGTATGAAAGTAAATTTTTTTGGTAACTTGAGCAAACTCCTTCTGCAGCTCTGATTGGAAGTCTGACCTCTGGTGGTCCTCTCTCAGCAGCTGCTCCCGCCTGTCGGCCTCCTTGTGCTGCTGCTTCTCTCTCTCCTGCTCCTGCTTCAGCCTCTGCTCCCTCTCCTTCAGCACCTGGTCTCTCTGGACCTTCAGGGCATCCTGCCTCGTCTGGACCTGCCTGCGCTCCTCGGCCCGCTGGGCCTCCAGACGCTGCTGCTCCTGCTGCTGCTCGTAGGCAGACTTCACGCGCTCCACCTGGGCGTGCGCCTCCTCCTGCTGCTCCGGATGGAGGCCCTTTTGAGGAGACAACTAGATGAGAGCAAATCAAACACACAGAGCTGTTGCTAATTTGAGACATGAATGTGGAGGCAAGGTATAATTCATCCTTTGGGAGAAGTTTAATAGATGAGAATGATGGCGTAGAACGATGAACACGACACATAATGAGCAAGCTGTCATTAATCAAAGAAGTAAACGCTGAGGAAAGGTTGTAACTCATTCCAGGTCCTCTGGGATTCAAGATAAATGATAAGCACTTCAATCTGAGCGGTAGCAAGGACACACGTCTCATTTATGATTACAAGGTTTGTTATGTTGCTCCAATCAACTACTTTGAAAAGTTTCAACCACACCGCGTGTTTACAAGTCACTATAAATTAGTAACCGAGATACAGAAAATTAAAGCCAGTTTAAGGCCCGTTTAGATGAAACTGAGTAGTCTGCACCAGTTCTAACCGGTTGTGGCTGGCGTCTCTGTCGGTCCAGGGCGTTCTCGTCCGGCTGTTCCTGTTCTGGCTCCTCCTCTTCGTCCTGTGGCTGGTCCGGGTCCTCCTCCAGCTTCTGAGGTTGTCCTGCTTGAGCCATCTCTTCCTCCGCCAGCTCCCTCTTCCTCTCAGCCTCTCCCTCTCCATCCTCCTGCTGGGATACGGTGGGGTGGGACTTGATCTCCTCCACTTGATGGTCCAGCTGAGGACAAAGCAGCAGGAGATATGATGATCAGATTTGTGTTTTTGTACACTAACAGTATGCCTTTTCTTGTTGATAATAACGTGACCTCAAAGAATCCCACATTACCTTGGACTCTGTGTTCGGGTGAACCTGGTGATCGTCCTCGTGGGCGTGCTCCCCTTTCTGTGGCTGTTCCAGCACTGTGGCCTGCTGGGCTTCATGAATTTGGGACTCGGGCGCAATGGCGGCTGCTTGCGGCTGCTGGGGGGGGGCAGGGTTTTGTTCCGGCTGTCTCAGATTAGCCACCCGGTTCAGGGACTCCCTCACCTGCTTGTATTCATCCACCTGCATCTAAAGGGAACAACATAAACAGGTTGGCTAAGAGTGACCATCCTGGGACAATTGTGTGATGCTGCTCGATTTTCAGTATAAAAAATCCCATGTGTGAACCTCTGGGACTTGTAAGAGAATAGGCTGGATATTGATACTATACTAGTGGCAATAACGTTGAACATGCTTTTCTACAATACTCTTGCTTCCTAATTTAAAAAGACGTCGAGTTGTGAAATTGTCAATGTTATTTTAACACAAGCTGTCCTAAGATTTCGCCTGAATTAAAAACGACCTCAAATTAGCAAAATTATAATGATACAAAAACAGAAATATCTTATTGAAGCAAACAAGACTATTAATCTGATGATTTATTAAATGCCAGCTTTTGGGATTTAAAACTTAGACTGTTTTAAATCCTCTGTGTTGCAGACAGATTTCAGCCAGCCAAAGGATAAAGACACCAAGAAGTGCTGAACAATTTAATCAGTACTGAGGTTTGATACCCAGCCCCGAAGACAGACAAACATGCTGTACGCTATTACATGTGAATGGGTCAAATGAAAAATCATTATAGTAGTAATCATGTAGGTTATATAGTCATTATTCAGAAACTAACTTTATTTAGCCACCTACATATCTGCATCTGGGGAAAAATTATACATTTTAACATGATTTGCTGTGGCGAAGCAGACATTTCTTCCAGTTCAGACCATCACACCATTAAAAGGACACCATCCTCTATACACACACACACACACACACACACACACACAAGGCCAGAGGGTTACATTAAAAAAAAAAAAAAAAACTCTTGCTAAATCCCTCCCTCCTCTCTTTATCCTGCTCCACTCCCTCTATTATATCATTCTGGCTGATTGGCTTAAATGTGCTTTAGATGTACTGTTCTGACAGCCCTGACTAAACCAAACCCCGAGGACAAGAGAAAGAGTGTGTGTGTGTGTGTGTGTGTGTGTGTCCATCCAGACGCAGTGATGGAAAACAGGACAGGCTTCAAAATAAATTAGCAAATGCAGACAGACAGACAGAGAGAAGGGAGAAGAGAAGACAGTGAGTGAGTGTCCATTAACGCAGACAGAGAGGAGGAGAGCAGAGCACTGTGTATTCAATAAAGCATTCAGGCATTTCAAAAGGTCAGTCGTGTGGAGAAACAGCAAACATCTGATCTAATTACCCAAAAACCAAACAGAAACTGGGGCATCTTTTCTTCTTCTCTCCTGGGGATTACGCAGTCCGCTACAATAAACATTTTGATTACGAAGGTTTGCTTTATTAGGAAGGTGAAAGTAAAAGGATAAAGTTTGGCTGAGAGGAATGCAGAGCAGGACTTGCTCTCCAGTTGTCTTTCATCAGCTCATTCGGATTATTGACACACTGTACAGCAGCAGCAGCAGCAGAGACTCCCCCCTCACCTGGCTGTTTCTCCCCATTAACACCGCCCTTGTGTCCGTTAGCTCCGCCGCTAACATGCTAAACACACAAACCCGCTCGCACGACAAACTAAAATGCGACTCTCCTGCCTCGCTGTGTGTCAAAATCTCACCTAGAGCCTTTGATTGCACCAGGCAATAACATTTGCAGCAGTTGACGGGAAGACAAATACGTGAGGAAAATACTTGCGACGCAGCAATTCAGCATCAATCAGCTGTTGTCTTCAGTGACAGGAATAAACAATGAGACCTGCTGCCGTCCTACCTGAGCTGCAGCCAGTGCACTCTTGTGGTCTTCCAGTGTCAGTGCGAGGTGGTCGTGGGAAGACTTCAGGTTCTGATGCTGGACCTGGGCAAACAAGTGCAAACAAGAAGCTTGAACTTTCATTTTATTGCCTAAAATATTTAATATAAAGTAAAATGTAAGATCTGGCACATTTTAATGACTGACAACTTTATTTCTTCCATGTCAGAGCACAAATAGCACACGTTGTATGATGCATGTGACAGTTATACTAGAACTAGTCCGACCTGTGCATCCTGTAGCTGTGTGTGGATGTCATGGTGGGCTTTCCTCAGCTGCTTATTTTCCTCTCTCAGGTTGTAGACATTATCTGCAATCACAAAAACAGCAAACACGTCAACAGAAAGCATGCATCTGAACAGGAAACACAAACAATATTCTACTTCAACACATTTGCATGAATAATAACAACCACTTTTTGTTTTGTGTTTTTTTATATTTCTTTTTTATCCTTATTAAAATACTGCATGGTTGAAGTCATAAGTCAAAATGTTTACTGATGACACCACTCCCACACTGCTGCTACTGTATGTTTGCGTCTGTACCTTTGAGGTGGGAGATCTCGGACTCTTTGACCTGCTGCACTTGCTCGTAGTGCTCTTTGTGTTCGTCCAGCAGCCGGTTGTGGTCCTCGCCTTGGACCTGGTGCTGCTCCTGCAGGTCATAGAACTGCTTCTTCAGGTCGTCGTGCTGGTTCTGGCAGAGAAAGAAGACCACCGTCATGTGATGACACACACACACACGCACACACACATAAACTTTAACCCAGAGAGAGGAAGGATGTAGTGTGGTAAGGCCAGAGAGAGTGTGTACCAAATACAGGTTAAATATGAGGATGTCAAGAAGTAAGAAACCCACAATGTGAGAATGTGATTGTGTATAAAAGGATTTGAATGATTTATACCTTTAGCATCTGATGCTGCACTTGTAGAGAACTGAATCTGTTGCCGGAGTCTTGCTGTTTGAGCATAAAAACAAAAGAAAACATTTTCTTACTTCAGCAGTTATTGGGAAAAGTGAAACGAGTGACTTTGTAGGTCAGGCTCGCTGGCACCGTCTCAACTCATAATAGTGAAGGGGTGAATTAAAGCCGACAGCGGCAGTTGTTTAACAAAGCAATGCAAGAAGACGTAAAACCGACGGGTGGCAAGAGACACAATATATAAAAGTGTAGAAAAGAAAGACGCCGAGTCACAGCAGAAATGAAACGCGTGTGAAGACATACCTTCTCCTTGTTCAGTGACTGTTGTGCATCAAGTTTATAACCCAGATAATCTAGAAGACAGAAACAGCACAGGTCAGCTTATCTTTCATGTTTTCAACAAGATGGAAAATTGTGCGTTAACGTGATAAATGCTTTTGATGGAAAAGAAAAAGGTACGACACTATGATGCTGACTTATGAGCTTCATTTTGATGCCTTGTAAACTCAAACCCACTTCATTTCATTAACACGTTAGTCCATTCATAAGTATGACACGCCGTCCCTGAATCAGACGTCCTCTTACAGCACAGATTGTTATAGTGTTACAAAACCAACACTGTTGTACTGCTACACAGCTCAGCTGCTGCAGATGGGGTTTTAAAATTGTTTACGGTGGGTACATCAGTTAGAATGACCCTTACATCTGTTACATAATTGTATTACATTGCATCTATTTAGCAGATGCTTTTGTCAAAAGGTGACTTATAATAATAATCTCATCAAAGAATATATGTACCATAGTACACCAAACTGTAGTCTAATATTCATTGTACCCAATGATGTGCAGTCTCAGAATTTGAACTTTCCAAAGCTCCTTTTAATGGAGATAAACCTCAAGAGTCAGAATTGAATGTAGACGTTATTTTTCTCACCTTCTTTGGCCTTTTTATGCTCCAAGCGCTCCTTCTGAAGAGACTTCTCTAACCTGGAGCGATGCTCGTACACCACTGAACATGGAGGGAAGGAGATGGAGAGAGAACACACAACGGTTTAGTGAGTTTGAACAACTTAAACAAAGAGCTGCAACACAAATATGTGCACTGCACAAAACGTATGCACCCACAAACACTTAAACATTCTGTTCAGAGAGGTGAACAGAAACAGGAAGTGCATTTTAAGCTTGATATGAGAGCCAGGTGTGATATTTATTCAACCGCACTGTGATCTCCATCGGCACAAAGCTGTGGTATTCCTCACAATGCTGTCAGTCAAAAGCTTTTTACAAATACTACGAGTTTGGTTCAGGCTGCTTCAGCGTCTGGTGGATGGTGTCTAAGTATGCTTATTTCAACTGTAAGCGAGTCGTCTCTCCACCCACCCATCCACCCCTGGTAAAATAGTTTTAGGTGACGCATTCTGTAACCTCGATATGTGCCAAGTGACAATAATAGTCCCTCCCATCAACGCTTTGGTCATAATAAACATTTGGGCAGTCAAACTGATGATGTGGCTGTTCTTCCTTCTGAGTGCCAACTCAACAGATTTCGGGATAAACTGAGACACATAATCGTGTGACAATAATTCCATGAGGATAACAAAACCATGGAGGAGAGAAGGGTGGAAGTGGACGAGACAGAAGCTAATTTAGGAACAATGAAAGATTTAAAAAAGAAAGAAATGCGAGAGTGAAACAGAGGAAAAGCTGAATCAGATGAGACGGGCACACACAGGGTTAAGATAGACAGACAAACCGGAAGAGACTGAAGGGAAAGAGACAGTCACGGAAACACACACACACACACACACACACACACACACACACACACACACACA